AACCCTGTAAACACCAGCAAACCCCCACCCAAACCCCCCTGGTTCACCAATACCCCATCCTAAATTTCCCCCCCCCCCCCCCCTACCCCTCAGTATTCTCGTTTAGTAAGTTTTAACGTTATTTTCCAAGTAAGAAGACCAATCGGAATTAAGGCTAATCTTAATCCTTCATATGTGTCTATACCTTTCATCACTCTTACAAACGTACAATATTCCTATTTCAATTCTACACCTAGCGATTGGAACAGTTTGTCGTGATCGACTGATCACAGCCCTAATACGAATGCATTCTAAAACAGTCGTGTATCTTGATTTTACATAAATATGATTCTCCTACTCTAGCTTAGTTTCATGTTGTCTATAGCTTTCTCTCTTTATAAGTGTACGTGCAGTCCACTACCGTTACTATTATTGTTTTTACAAGTCCTCAAGGTTTTTTGAATGTTCACCGGCTTTATCTTTGTCTCTTTGTTTTAGTCAAAATAAATAAAATGAAATCTCTAGTTTACGATTTTCTAAACTCTGTGCTCAATTCTACACCACTTCGTAAAGCGCCTCGACTTGATATAATTTTCGATTTTTCTCCATTTTTCATTAGTCCTTTTTACTTCTTTTTAGAAGTTATACCACAACTAACACCTTCTCCTCGCAAATTAATTATTGAACGGTTACCTACTATGCCATCTAAACCTCCTCCTGTTATAATTGAACGTTGGCTACCATATAATAAACAAAAACGTCAAGTTGTGTATGAACGTGCTAAACCATTAGAACCAGTGGAAAATATAAAAAATACAATTATTGAATGGAAATCCCCTGAAGTTGAGTTAGTTAAACACGTCGAAGAACTTGGCGTACAAGAAGCTGATCCTGTTCGTTATTATGAACAATATGGTGATAAATTATATACAACAGAATTTATAGAAAGAAAATTTCAAGAATTAGGTTTGCAAGATGAATTATTGACTATACAACAACAACAAGTCACAATGACAAACGATAATGAAACATATGATTTTCAAAATAGTGATGAAGATAGCTTAAGACAAATATTAAGTGAATATAATACATCCTCAACTCACCAATTAACATCATCAAGACAAGATAGTAATTTACTACGCCTGTTAAATGAAAAAGATATTGAAACGTCAGAAATTAATATTGATCAAATTGTTGATGATGAAGAAAGTTATACTGAACGTCGTTCACCAATAACAAATCATAATAATAATCTAGTTATATATGAAATGACGGAAAATACAAATAGTGATAGTGGTACATTAACAAATATTATTGAAAATAAGACAACTGATGATCATTCATATAGATTAACAGAAGAAAAGATAAATCACAATAATGAACATACTGGTAAATTTTCAACAATCCTATGAAATTCTATAAAAGGATCTTAGCATAAAAACCATGGTTCTATGAAAGGATCCTATAGGCCTGAAACTTCCTAATAAATCTTACGAGGGAACCTCTCAAGGTGATTAAAAGCTTTTCGACTCAGACTATTTTCATCATGTAGGGAATAGTCGGTAGTGAAAAACCCCAAGTTGGTTTGGGTCCATGCACCTTTTTGACGGAGATATGAGTTAATTAATGAAAATGCCATTAATAATAATTAATTAATATCTCACGACCATGATCAGCCAGGAGTCGGAAGTTTT